CCCACCCCAAGACTCCAAAAAGCAAATCTCCTCATCGGAATTAGAGAGAAAAAGCAATCCAAAGATACTGGTTAACATATTCCTTCCCAAACCAAGCAAGCAAGGATCTCCCTCTCCCGGCTAACAGCTTAGAAATTCAGACTTTAAACGACAGGAAAAAAGAATATCAAAAAGAATACTAATTAATATAAAAAAGCCTCCTAATTCTCCAGCTTCCCACTCAGCACTGCCCCGCTCTCGCCGATTTGCGCGGCTGTGCGTGTGCGCGCCCGTTTGGCGAAATGGCGAGAGCTAAAGGCTTAAAAAGCCCCCTTTTTTTTTTTCCCCCCTCTCTCTCTCTCTCTCTCCCCCCATTTCCATCCAAAAGAGCTGCTCCGACTTTCCCGGCTCGCTCCGCCGCCACCGTTGGGTTTATGCCCAACCCCTTTTCCATCTGCCCATGCCTGAGCGGCGCGGTGCAGGCGTACAATCCTGAGCAGCTTACGACACTCAGTGAACACTGGGTGCCTCTGCATGCTCTAGCAACACAGCTCGGCTGAAGGGAAGGGATTCTCGCTGTCTCTCTCTGCTCTAAGCATCACCTCACGAGCAAAAAGCGAACAAAGAATGGGAAATAAAGCTACCCTTAGCCGGTCGGTGACTGAAGGGTAATCTCTCTTGCTCTGGAGTAAAGGTTGTGCCGGTCACTGGTCGTTGCAAATGACGGACATTAAAGAGATTGCCAAATCCCGTGGAGTCGTTAGTAAAGAGTTTGGAGTTTTTTGCACGCCACAGTGTTAACTGCAGAGGAGAGGACAGAGAAGATCAAGCTCATGCACATAGTTCTGAAACTTGCAGGTCCTAGGAGGCAGCTAAAAAGCTCGCTGGACAAGCCCTCGCGCTCGTCGAGCAGAAGCGAAGTGAGACATTGTGAGCTTGCCAGCCTTGCACAAAAATTGAAAGGGACTGAATTTGTAGCACAGAGGGGTCTTTTTTAGCTCTGCATATAATTAGTCCAAACACAAAGGAAGCAACTGAATGGAGGTTGTCACTCTCTGGAAAAGGGTGGGTAAGACACTTTTTAATTAAATTCTTTCATGAAGAAAGATTTTTTTTTTTTAATCCTTTGCTGCAGCATTTAACATGAACAAAATCACTATCATTTTACCTTTGAATGTCTGTGAACTTTAATGCTGCACAGCTCCTGCATGCTGTAAAGTGAAATATTTGCCTCTGTGTCTGTTCTGTTTGCTGTTCTGCTTCGGGTTTTCTGGCTTTGTTTTGGCTTTTTTTTTTTTTTGGTTGGTTTTTTTTTTTTAAATTCCCTGAAATAAAATATGATGTAGAATTTGCAAAGATTCAATGGACATTCTCAAGCCTATTTGGAAATATCCTCGCTAATGGATTTCCTTCTTATCGGTCTCTGTTTAAACTGGCTGCTGAGGAAGCCCCCGGGGTTGATATTGTGTACGCTGGGTATCTTTTCTAAAATGCTTCCAGCCGTGAATAGTGGGTGTCCACAGCTCTGTCGGTGTGAGGGCAGGCTTTTGTACTGTGAATCACTGAATCTCACAGAGATGCCTCGCAACCTGTCGGGCATGATGGGCTTGTCTCTGCGGTACAACAGCCTTTCAGAGCTGCATGACGGACAGTTCACAGGGTTAATGCAGCTCACGTGGCTCTATCTGGATCACAATCACATTTGCTCAGTGGAGGGGAATGCCTTTCAAAAATTGCGGCGAGTTAAGGAGCTCACCCTGAGTTCCAACAAAATCACCCAACTGCCCAACACCACTTTCCGCCCCATGCCGAACTTGCGCAGTGTGGATTTATCGTACAACAACCTGCAGTCCTTGGAGCCCGACCTGTTCCACGGGCTGCGAAAACTGACAACTTTGCACATGCGGTCGAACGCCATCAAGTTCGTGCCGGTGAGAATTTTTCAGGACTGTCGCAGCCTGAAGTTTCTAGACATAGGATACAATCAGTTAAAGAGCCTGGCTCGAAACTCTTTTGCGGGCTTGTTCAAGCTCACCGAGCTGCACCTCGAGCACAATGACTTGGTGAAGGTGAATTTAGCCCACTTTCCCAGGCTCATCTCCCTGCACTCCCTCTGCTTGCGAAGGAATAAAGTTACCATCGTAGTCAACACTTTGGACTGGATATGGCAACTGGAAAAGATGGATCTCTCCGGCAACGAAATCGAATACATCGAACCTCATGTTTTTGAGAGCGTACCTCACCTCAAATCCCTGCAGCTGGACTCCAACCGGCTCACCTACATCGACTCCCGAGTCCTGGACTCCTGGAAGTCCCTCACTAGCATCAGCCTCTCCGCCAATGCCTGGGACTGCAGCCGCAACGTCTGCGCCCTGGCCTCCTGGCTGAGCACCTTCAAGGGTCGCTACGACAGCAACCTGCTCTGTGCCACCCCCGAGTACGCCCAGGGCGAGGACGTTTTGGACGCGGTGTACGCCTTCCACTTGTGCGAGGACGCGGCGGACCCGACGGGCGCTAACACCCTCTCCCCGGTAACGAACAACAGCGACCAAACGCTCGGCTATGGCTCGGCCACCGTCACCTACGACGTGCAGGACAGCGAAGGCGACCGGACCACGTACGCCATCACCGTCACCATGCCCGGCGAGAACTCGGAGAACGCCGTCCAGATTCACAAGGTGGTGACGGGGACCATGGCGCTGATTTTTTCCTTCCTCATCGTGGTTTTAGTGTTGTACGTCTCCTGGAAGTGCTTTCCGGCCAGCTTGAGGCAACTAAGACAGTGCTTTGTCACACAGCGCAGGAAGCAGAAGCAAAAACAGACCATGCATCAAATGGCTGCCATGTCAGCCCAGGAGTATTACGTTGATTACAAACCCAACCACATTGAGGGAGCCCTGGTGATCATTAATGAGTACGGATCTTGTTCCTGTCACCAGCAGCCAGCGAGGGAATGCGAGGTGTGATTTTCCTTGGGGATTTAAACAACCAAATAACGGCGTGCAGGCAGACGGTGGCACGGGGAGGGGGGGTTGCTGTGCTTTGCTGGTGGTTTCTGACACGCTCCTCTGCCGAAAATTGTCTCATTTAGACAGGGGCTGTCGAAAAAGACTTGATATTTTAGCTTTATCGTGTCTTAAAAACCTTCAGGACGGTCAATCTTAAGATTTCGTATGCTAATACTCCCTTTGAAGATCTGTCAATATTCAGGAATCTGAGAGTGTAAAAAGGTACCAATTATTGATCTTTTGTAAACTAAGAAAACTGTTTAAAATAAAAAAAAATAGCATTTACAGTTTTTACAGACTGGTGTATATTACATGAATTGTCCCCTGTATACGAAATGCAACAGTTTAACCTCTTCTCGTACTGAGTGTTGAAATCAAAGTCTGGGAGCAAAAAAAAAAGCCACGTCAAATAGCGAGCTTAAAAAGAACCAGATGGCTTCTCATTGTAATTAGCACCCGTTCACTTCCATCGTGTTACTGAGGATACCAGGCATGACACTGGAATTGTATTGTGTTCATGTGCTACCTGTGACTGGATGGCAGTGCAACAAGGAGCCGGTGCACCTCAGAAAGGGGAAAGTTTTGGCCGTGGCCCTGGGACCAGATTTCTGAGGGTTTTTCTGCACAGCTCACTTGTTCGATGCTGCAAGGTTCATCCAAACTGCATCGCTGCCCCTCAAAGTATTTTGTGTCAAATCTGATCATATTGCAAAGTCTCACCAGAAAGAAAAAAGCAAACGACAGAGCTCAAACAACTGAAACGTGGTCCAAAAAAGTGCTTGTCATTATTTCCTTTAAAATAAAAAGACAAAAAGATCTAAACTGAAGGGCTTTTACTAGCATTTCCCAATTTTATGCTTGTTTTGAGATATGCTCAGAGCCAAGCAACCCTTGCTTTGTGCACCGTGGTGAATGGAGCAGAGCAAAAGCTGCTCGGGTCTCGGTGGTGAAACCTGTGTGTCCTTCAGGAGCAAAACCTCCCCTGTACCACCAGCAGAGTAAAACACAGAGTCAACAGAGAGTACTGCTGGGTCCTGGAGTAACCTGCGAGCAAAGCCCACCTCGTGCCCCTCACTTTCCTCAAAAGCCCTCGCTAACACAGCAACTCCCAAATCTCTGCAGAGGCTGCAAGTAAATGACCCCCCCCTTACTGATAACAGGAATTGACGGCTATCAGCAGAGATTTCCTCATGCTGAACCACACAGCTGGTTCCTTTGGCTGCCCTTAAATAAAGGCTTCCTCTCCTCGTATTTTGGATTTTTCATTCCAGTATGGGAACAACGCAGCGATTGATTTTTGTCAAGAACTCCTCTCATGCTAATGAAAATGAGGGAGTTTCATAACATCAGGCAGAGCATCTTGAAATTTTCTTCATACAGCATTACATGCTAATAAAATGTTACAGATAATGAATTGGGCAACGTTTCTATTGCTTTAGACAGATTTCTCTATCTTAGGCCACCTCCAATAGAGGAAGAATTAAGAAATCTAACATATATTTTAATTTAACATAGCTCTTTCTTTATTTATAGCACTAAAGTGCCACCTACCCTTAAAAGGCTACAGCAGACTTGTAAAGCAGAGAATAAACCATTTTTTCCCTGAACAGCAGATTTTAGCTATTAATTTTAAACATAAAGAGTAAATGTTGTATTTTTTTCTGACTGACAGTATTTGTAAGGAGTCAGAACTTGTTTTCCTCTATTTGATATATCTCAACCTGTTTAGTATTAAATATGAAAATAGCCTCGTAACCAAAATTTGTATTTTGTGAGACTGCTAATGTCATCTGTGAAAGCAATGAGACTCTGTATTGGGAGAGGGCTTTTTTTGTGAGAAATTTAGTGAAAATCAACTGCTTTTTTTCTTAAGGCCACCGAAAATTCACCCAGAGCTTTGAAACAAGCCACCACTGTTAAAACAGAGGCTTTTCTCTCTTTAAATAAATGCACATTTCTGCTTCTGTGCCTCAAACCCACAAGGGCCTGAGCCATCCCAAGTGACCTGAGGGGCTGAGCATCCATGTGTGGACCTGACAGGGAGGGCAGGAGTCGGTAAGGAGCCCCTTGTCTCTTTGGGTGCCTGATCCTATTTTAATAGATAATACTTGATGTTGTGTTGAGAGCCAAACCATATGTCTTTACCAAAACCAAGATTGTTAAAATATTGTCTGTATATGGTCAAAAACCCACATGAATTAGCTTTACTTCTGTAGTGACCCCCTGTCGCCATAAGGAAACGGATTAGTACAGTGGTGGTTTTGCCCCTGTAACTCTGATGCAAGTCTGCTACCGACAAACAATCATCCCGTGGTTGTATTGCCATGTATTTTTAGCACATCTGTGGGCTGTGTTTTAGCCACACTAGTGATCGCGCCCCTCTGGAATTATTCATGTTGTTTATTGGTGTTAGCAACCTCAAGCTTCGCTTGCAGGGACGTGAGCAATTCCGCCTCTGGAATTTATTCACCTCCGTGCTTCACGCATCTCGCATTGACAGCTCCAAGTAAACCCAGCAGAGCCTTTTCCTTTAAAGGCACAGGGATTTCCTGAGTGAGGGCCGATTTTGGTGCTGCCTGTTGCCTTTTCTCCTGAGGAGAGGTAACTACCACCACCCTTCGCAGGATGATGGATGGATCCTCCCCATAAAGCAGAAAACTCTGGAAAATTATATTATTTTCCAGAATTTCCATGCAGAAATCTTTTCTGAGAGGAACATCTTCTAGAGACAGCCTCCAGAGGAGATCTGGATACCCTCTGAACATCTCCTGGTGGGAAGAGGGGTGTCACTGCTTTGCATGAAGGTGCTCCACAAGGTGCCCACGTCTGGGCTGAAAGTTTACATGAAAACCATATGGGTTGGAAAGAAATATCAGAGCAAGTATTTCATTTTAATCCACTTATTCATCCTGCTCCAGCCTGCTTGCATAGGTACAGAGAAGAGTTATCATCTTTGTACTGCATTTATAGCAACTGCAGGGACAAATATTCCCTACCTCTTCTAAATTTCATGCTCACCAACTGTCCAGAGATATGTCACTCCCTCTTTTTTGATGCCCTTATTCTGGCTTATGAAATAGCTCAAAAAATCCAACAAATGATGCTTTTGGGGTTAGCTGTGACAGTTTGTTGTTCAGGAGCTGCTTGGGGAATATCGAAGGAATGCAAATACTTTTAATATTCCCCATTTAATGTTCCACTTAATAGGACTAATCTTCCTTTTTATAATTAGGTAATTAACAATATTTCATCTTTTTTAAAGTGTCTTCTAACACACAAGACAGGGTGAAAGGCAAGCACAGGAACTACCTTTCTCGAGGACGGTTAACACTGCCAGGGTTACAGATCTCTAATATGCAATCTCTTGCTGCTAACATCAATACACACCCAGTGATGAAGGAACTGTTGCCGTGTATGCTTTGAATGTATATAAGGGATGATTTATTTTCCTTTCTGTCTTTTTTTTCCCCCTTCCTTTCTGTACTACTTTAAAAAAAAAAAAAGAAGTGCTATGAAACCACAGAATCAATGCTAATGTACCACGTTCTGTTTCTGGCCTGAATATATGAAATACAAAGCAATTTTGTGTTAAAGCTGCAGATTCCCTCCTTTGCCACGCTGCCTGAGCGCTGCCGAGGGCTGGAGCCAGGGATGCTCTCCTCCTCCACGTGCACAGCCATACCTGGCTGCTCCGTGCCATGTGAACCTGCAGTGAACAGCATTAATGACACCCGAGGATATTTATGTATGCTTTAATAGATTCTGTATGTTTTTATGGCCTTGAGATGAGCCTATCTGATGATTTTCTTTGGTTCGGATAAAAAGCCCCTCATTTGCTTTTGAGATGGACTACATTTGTTTCTTCCATGTGTCTCATTCTGCATTAACAGCAAAAGGGCCCTCTCAATATCCCTTCCCTTGCCTACAGCTTCTCCAATGGTACCCAGAGTGGCAAATAAGGAGGAGTATTAAATTAGGATGCTTATTACTAGTGCAATAATAACAGTAATAATAACAAAAGAAATGGAGAAGAGAGAAAAAATAAGAGAAAAGACTGGAGTAACGACACCTACATCAGGTTGTGGCTGGCCCCCTTTGCCTTCCCTTTTATAAAGATGGCAAATCTAAAGGCCCAGCACAGCTGAAAAAACAGGCCTGAAGGTGGGTGAAGAAAGCAGTCCTTAAAAACTGAGCAAGCAGGGATGAAACAGCTCCTGGTAAGGAGGGTCCAACACAAAACAGCTTCATTAGCAAAAGAGAGGAAAGGAAAGGGTGAGGGGACAGGGAAGATGAGGACTGGTGAGAAGGCAAGTGGATCATAAGGAAAATGAGATTTTTCAGGGCCTTCATCTCCTACTCTGAGCTATCCCAGTCACAGTGCACCACAGACTTTCTAGAAAATCAGAGTTTTCTACCAGAAATACCTCCTTCTTTCCCCCTATCACTTAAGAAACCACTATTTAGGGAGAGGAGTGGTCTTGAGCTATAGCAGATTTTCCTGCTCATTGCATCCACACTCTTCCTCCCTCACACTCAGCTTTCATATTCACAGCTATTACGGCAAACACATCTAAGATATTTTTGCTGTGTTCAATTTGCCATTATGCACCAAGGTTATACTTTTCCTTGACCTGCTCGACCCAGCCTAATACCAACAAATTGAGCATTTATATGGGTTCCTTTCCAAGCATGAATTTGATTAGGAATTTAGGAAACGCTGGTGATTTAAAGATTAACCTTTCCTATAACTACTGACACAAACCAGAGCAATTAATGTATTAGAAACAACTATTCAGAGTATATGCTATGTTTAAAAAAAAACCACATTTAAAGCCATGCAAAAGACTTTCCATACCAGTTAACTTTTTATTTCTATTTTGTTTTTTAATAGCAGAAAAACCTGGTGAAAGGAAGGGAATAAGCGTGGTCTACCTCTAAAGTTATGTTAGAGGAAAGCAAGGCTACAAAAATATTTCAGAAACCAAGCAACAATCTTCTGCTGGCAAGACAGAGCCTGTAATTGGGTGGGTGGCTGTGAAGCTCCAAGATGAATGCTGCAGAGCACTGTAATTTTATTGCAGTGTGTCTGCTTTAAAGTGAACATATTCGCAATGAAATCTGTAGTTCCCTCAGAACAGAGCAATTGGGTTTTTTTGTTACAAAGAGAACGTCACTTGTTGGCATTCAGACACAGTTATTCAGCCTTTAAACCCATTTCTGTACTTATTCGCCTTTTGCAGGTGTGATGGTTTGGGGACACGCTCAGAGGTCCAGGCTGCACTGAAAGGGG